ACGGATTCAGTTCCCTGCTACTAACTCCTCTGTCTTCCCTCTCTTAACAGGCAAGACCTCTATATTCTCTTAGGACTGCCGGTCAAGGGAAGTGGATTTTTTTCTTCGACATGTTCAGCCGGGATTCATTACTCTGGACCAATCGTAATCTCTCTATATACGAAACATCGGGAACGTACGTAGTCAGTGCTCCATTCGATATTAGGGGGCTTGCTGTTCTACTACCGAATATTGTTATTGCCCATGAAACTTGTCTTTGAACCGTTGTCTAGACAGCTTCCGGGCTTCTTAAAAAGCCAAGCAATGGGAGACACGTTGGGCACACTACACTAAATTCAAGGATGTATGGGCGTAAGTCTCGGTGTTGGCTCATTAGAGTTGCTCGTAGTAACCTGAAAGGTAATTGCCAGCTCTTATCCATACGAACTAAATGTTGAATGCAAATATACCCTTAGAACAAGTACCATGGTAACTACGAGATATGACCAACTTTGACAGATTGTTGAAAGATTGAAAGAGCAGGAAGAGAAATATGAACATCTAGCAGAGATTATATATGACGAAGGAGCAAGCCTGGACTACTTCTGTAGTACGTAGAACACTCTCATCAGGCCAGCAGTAAGCCACTCCGCCCTCACTCTTGAGTAGCACGAATAGGCTTGAATGAGGATTGTGATACCCGGAAAGATATCCGACTAGCATAATAATCCCACCATGATCAGACTTGCTATAGACAGTCCATAGTGTGAGCAATAAGAGCCAGGATCCTGTGCATGACGGTTTATTCTAAAACCCTCGGCTCGCATTTGGCCTCGTGATGCTATGTATCTAGTTATCCAGGGCTTAAAAGCATAAAGTGGTAGCATGTCTTCTACAAAGGCCTCGCTTATAGCTCTCTCCACATTGACCACATGGCAACAATAACATCTGTTGTACTATACAAGGATACCTCATAACCACATTACCATCTTGGCGGTCAGTAACGGCTGAAGTGACTGACTCTGTATATATCAATCCTAAGCGGGAAATGCATCCAGAGGAGCCACTCTAGCCATGTGCTTTCGCCATTAACGACATGTTAGGTATACTCGTGGATGGGGACAACATAGCTGATCTATAGCAGTGTATGACAAGACTTCATACTGTGGGAACGATAAGTTACACAAGAACTCAGTCGGGCAATCGATAGTTGTGGGTTAACTAGGAGGGTTTCACAAGGGTCAGAATGTCGATCTCCCCTTGCTGATGACCGGCACTCATGCAGGTTGTTCCCAAGTACTGCCCTTGTCTTACTGGCTAACTGTTGCTTATCATCGATACAAACGGGCGATTGTTTCAGGTTGCTGCAATCCTTTGTTATATTCTCTTATCACTGAACCTCTGCTATCGCTACATGGTCAACGGTCGGGCCCGCACTGCGAGCCCCGCCATTATGCTTTCAAAACACTCAATCAAGAAACCCAATGCAAGCCAATTAAAGAGTGTTAAAGGGAAAGGAGGAAGGTTTATGTTCTAGCACACTATTTTGTTTTCGTGTGGTGTTGTAGAGATCAATGTTTTGTAAGCACCGTTATGATAGCCCCGGTCGCGGGAATATGGGCACCGTGTCTAGTTGCTCCAAGCCTCCCATTGTGCCCTGTTGCCCGCCGACATGCCACCCTTGGCCAGTCTGTTGGTTCACAAAGGCACTCTGACGGAAAGGGTTCGTGCTCCCCGTAGGGTTTGGACGCAGAGGAGCCGCAGCAGGAGGTTGCAGGCCCTGGGACTGCGGTGGGGGAACAGAGGACGCACGGGCAAACGGATTAGTTCCCGTCCGCTGGGCTTGGAGTGGCGCTGGCTGTTGGGGCGCTTGCGGCTGCGCCTGCGGGTAGGCTTGGGGAACACCGGTATCAAGCTGCGGGTTGACTGTTGATAAACGTCGTGCGAAGGGGTTCGTATTTTGACGATTAAGGGGAGTAGCAGGCGTGGCCGATCCGGTCGGCGTGCTCATTAACATCGATTGTCGGAAGGGGTTGGTTGACTGTGGCTGCAACTGCTGCTGAGCCATTGGCATTTGTTGCTGCTGGGAGAATGCACTCATGTCATGCTGCGGGATGGGAGCGAGGTTTGACTGGAAACCGTATGTCTGGGGCTGCGCCGAATAACCACCAAATCCGGCCCCCGTGTGGTTGGGTTGAAGAGGTTGGGGAGCCTGCTGCTGCTGCTGCGGCTGGCCAAATTGCTGAATATTCTGCGGCGCAAACTGGTTTCCAAACGCCGCTTGTTGGTCAAACCCAGTCGGTTGGGGCTGCTGGAAGCCCGTCGGTTGCGCGTAGAGGGCCTGTTGCTGCGGTGGGAACCCGGTTTGCTGGAACTGCATCGCCTGCGGTTGCTGCTGTAATTGCGCTTGCTGGAACGGATTGGTCTGGGTCATCGGCTGCTGGTTCTGCTCGATTGAATCAAAGAAGTCGATAAGGTCCGATTGGTTTGACTTCTGTGTTTGTGGATTCGGCTGGGTTTGAGGCCGTGCCGGCATAGTGTTCGCGTTGCTCACGGCCCTATCGCCTGTCGCAGTTTTACTCACAGGCGGAGTTCCGCCGCTTTTCCCTTGCTTCCGTGCCAAATATTCTCGCCGGCGAAGGTTGAAATCCGGGTCATTGAGATCGTCCTCCAGAAGTCGCGTAAGATCCGTAGAAGCATGTTTGAGCTTAGGGATCTCCAATCGCGTCGCAGATTGGAAATGCCTAGCAACTCCCAGAAACTTCACGACTTCTTCCGTTTGGACCGTAAATGTCTTGTATATTTCCAACGCACGTTCGCTGTCGGGTCGCGACATTTCAAAGTAATGCTCTGTGCGCAGTTCAGTCAGAGCATGCCGCGGGTTTGCTAAGCAGAGCACCTACCAAGAACGTTTATTGTTCCTTCGTTCATCACCGAATATAGGGTCAAGAGATCCAAAACCAGCAAGCGAAATGCGGTCAACGATATTTCGTTCTCGACGTCGTCAGTGAGAAGCTGAAACATGTCAGTTGAAGATGTCATGATGCAAAGGAAGGAGATGACCCACGTCACATTTGAGCAGTGCATGGATCTGATGTTGAACTATTTCTGTCTCCCTCAGAAGTCCCTTTTCTACTGTCAGTCTCTTCATCCGACCTTGTCCGCTTCGCACGTAGTCGGTCTTTGTATCCTCGAAGGCACGCGCACGCGCGATGAGATAATCGGAGTATCTTCGAATATTATGGCCTTGCGACTGTACTGTGACATCAACATGTCAGTAATCTCCCGCACAGATTCTCACACCATCCCTCACCTTCTGAGAATCCACTGATGGCAAGTCTTCTGGGGTTCTCTGCCATATACTGCAATGTAGCATCCAACTGTCCCTCCCTTATCATCAAGTGGACAACAATAAGAGCTTTGAAAACAATGGTCCATGTTGAGTCGCGAAGTCGGAGCTGCAGCGTCCGAAATATCTCGGCAACACCTGCCTCGCCTGTATGAGTCGCAACAAGTATATGTTCAATGTATTTGGATTTGGGGGCCGCAAGCTGTTGATGAGGACCAGATCGTCAGCAGTTGCGCAAGATCACGCATCCCCTGAAAAGACACGGAACCTCCTACCAACCTTTATCTTGGTGGCTCCCTTCACCGACTTCTCAAAGTTGTGAGACATGTTCAAAGATGGCTGTCCTCCGTCACAGCAATTGGTCGGAAACAGAAATCAGGGGAATCTGGCAGGCAGCTGGATTCGAGGTGGAGGGGGGTTTTCGGGGTGGAACGATAACCAGATCGATCGAAGTTGAGAAGGTACCAAAACTATAGTCGTGTTCTGAATGCTTTGCCCACGCCAATTCCAAAAATAATCATGATGCGTCAAGTTGCCATGTCGCGGAACTGGTGATTCTTACGCAAGCTGTCAATAGGGAAGTGGGACGGGGGTGAAGTGCCGACTCCTAGGGAGGGGGATCGGGACTTTCGGTATGACAGGGATGATCTGCCTGATAATCCCCCAAAGGAAGGGTGGTGGGGGGGGTCGGTTCGAGGATTGAAGCGGTCAAGGGAACAGGAGGGGAAGATTTATGAGAACAAGTCGGGGGGAGAGAGAGAGAGCTTCAGGCAGTTCGGGATGTTGGACTTCAAAGCGGCATCGCAGTGGAGCGCCCGGTTGCACCCAACTAGGCTAGGAACTGCCTAGTGCTGTTTGGGTCGGCGCGATGATGTTATCCGACGAACTATAGGTACCACGCTGTTGAGGATGATCTCTACCACTGTGGTACAAAAGAAATATGAGGGTAAAATAAAGTGTCACTTCATAGTAATACTCTTATTTGATTTCCTCACTTTTAAGTCGACATGATCCAGAAGCTGAACCTTCCGCCAAGTATTACAATTTTAGCTCTGCGATTCGTCTTCACGTGATCAGTAAATATATATCTTTGTGGCTAGTAACTGCCAGCAATAGTAACCCCACGATCAATCTCCAAAAGGATTTCAGATATCAAATCTGCCAACTTTGAACTTTTGACAACGATACTATAAAAAGACCTAAACTTATTTATACTGAGTGAGGTTCTTGCCGTACAGATATAGGTTCCAGTGGCCACACCCAAATCGATATCAATAAGAGCTAGCCCACTTATACTGTCTGAAAAGTGGGCAAACGCCTTTTTTTGAATCTGCTTGCATCTGCCACAGAAGTACTTTCACAATACAGACTTGTAGCTATGATTGAAATTTATGATCAAGCTATCATGGCTTCCTCGCTTATTCTTCACCCACAAATTCCTGCTCAACAGAAACTAGCAATATCGCTCGCCCACTCCACTTGTGTCGCCCACCATTCTCTTGCTGAAGCCTAATCTAGAAACTATCTCATACTATCTCGTTTTACTACTCTTTCATGCAACACTCGATTGTCGTGATGGATCCCGAGATTGGTCTTGACTATAGAACTCCACGACTCCAAAACAAATGGACACGGGAACAGAGACTGTTCCTCTGCTGTCTATATGAGTTCTTTCAGAGAAACACGAGCGCCTTCAGAGACATATTCAATCGAGTATTTGAATCGGAGGTGACAGAATGCGGATTTACTGAGGGCATCCCATCAAGTACTCTACGCACGCAGTGGGGTGAAATGGTGAGATATTCGTACCCGGAGTGGAGAGAAGTTCAGCAGCATACATCCGAGGGGCATTGGCGCTGGATCCCAACCTTAGGACGGATCAGAAGGACTGCGAGGTCACTAGGTTTACACATAGTCCCGAATTATGTCGACGATGGTGAGGAAACTTGCAGCCATCAGCAGAGCCTGGCACCACAAGTCGAGATATCAGAGATAACTCCTCAGCACACGTCTATGATACAGCATCCTGAGAGAAGAGATGATGGCATTACTGAGATGCAAGAACAAGCATCAGTACCAGTACCAGAAATCGTTGATATGACTCAGATCGATATTAGCCTATGCAGTGGCGGCGACAAAGTATGCTTTTGGTGTGTACAAGAGCAGATTTTGAATGTGAGACCCAAATGATACCCGAGTAACATATAAACTAATACCACATTCAGCAGAAAGCACATAAAGAATCGAATACTGTGGGATCTCGTTCACGTTGGACTGATGAAGTGCCCCCTGTCATATACAGATGGTCTAATATCGACAGTCAAGGCGTCAATTCAAAAATGCTATTCCTGGCCGGACTTTTTGCAGATGGACGCCAATTCTTCACACCTGGGGATATATCTCAAGAAGAATTTATCAACTACTTCTCTAGACATGTTCACATCGACAAAACGCCATCACCGTTCATATCTACGTTTCGCTCAATGTTATCGCCTGTTCACAGAGCACTCTGGAACAAAGAAGGCGCTATTATATCCATCATTGACACACATAAGCTTGATACCGACGTATATCCCGCGATTAAGCTATTCAGGGAACAAAATCTGCGTATCCGAGGCTACGACGGTAGAGGCGAGTTCTTGGTATGGGGAAAGATACCACCCGCTGCTATAATATGTGCTGTAAAAATAAGCACGATACAACAGCTCGCAGATGAGCATGCTGAGATTGGGCAGTTCCTACAGCTTGATAAACTTGCATCTCATAAATACAACAGAAAGCAGTTGCATGGCGAGCTAGCTAGAGATGCCGGCAAACTTGACCACACTTCGGGATACGCAATAGGAAAATTTCTTAACTCTATCAATCTCCCATTCGAGTTCAGCAGGGAGGTGAGCGAGGGCTTATTCCACTCCTGGAGACTGAAGAGGCAAGGAACTTGGGAGTCCTTTCATGAGGGAGTATGTGCTGGCTACGATCGCTCTATACCATCTACCAGTGTCAGCGAAGTGAGACGTCCAGAATCCATTGTTCATGATATATCGGATGACGACTCAATCACCGAGTGTGGATCTATTGCAGAAGACGAGAATATGAGTGATGGCGAATCTGAGGATATCGGTGCCAGCTCACCATGCATGGGCCGCGAGTTAGCCGCACATACCTCAGAACGAAAACCCCTTTCCACTCCTGACTGGTTCTTCATGAGAGATACAGATGATGAACTGATAACAGACGAAGATGGAGAGGAAGAAGAAGTCACTGGACGACAAATTAACCTATTTTCTGAGCAAGATTCTAACCGATCAGCTGAGCTGATTACGGATTGGCCTGAAGAAGCCACTCAAGTACTGTCATCCTTGAACTTGCACATATCTCAGACCCGCATCCCTACCATCGAGATCTTCGACCCCAAAACTGGCGGATGGGTCCAAGAACAAGCGAGACTCGCGCAGAAAATGGAAGAGGACGACTGTCAATCCTATATGCAGCCGCCATCCAGCGATGATACTCAGGAAATGAGGGGTATATCCGTAGAAGGCGAAAGCGACATTATGCATGATACCGAGACTAGATATTCAATTCTGAGCATGTCCCGTGAGTTGTCAGAGGATGTCCTGCCCCACATTCGCTTTGTGAGAGATCGAGAACGTCGACGACGCTGGCTTCTCCAGTAGTCTCGTTCTTCTTTCTGCCCCAGATATACAGTACCCTGTATTGCGGACTCGTCGTCGATGTTATTATCGGTTCAGTCTCATGATTGTTGAAGGAGATAGTAAGATAAGGGTCGGCAGGTGTGGTCGAAGGAAAGGCGCACGCTAGTACCAAGGGGAGAGATGTACTTTGTAGTGTTTGAGTAATGACCTGGAGATGTTTGAAAGGCTACTAAAATGTATCTAGTAGTTGCTATAATTAGCTGATTAGAATGGATCAGTGAACCTACGAGTACCCTTGACTTTTGGCGCTAAGTGCCCGCAGTGCAAGCGATAAGAAAGATTACAGAAGACCCAAACTGGAAGCGGCAGTGACTCGATTAGAAAGGCTAGATTTCACACTAGCATACTGAACTCTCCCTCAGTGCTCTGAGATCTCGTACAGATATAAAGTCTATGTGGGAGAATCAAAGTAATTTTTTCATTGGATATTCCTTCCACAAGGGTACCTGGGACATGAAATCGTGAAACAATCCCAACCCGAGAAACTATTCCGTTTATATCCAGTCACGCCGCTGCCCTAGGTTCGTCCTCGCGAAAACACACCCTTCCTCATCGAGACGCTTAGAACTTGGAGAAAGCCTTGACGGCCTTACCGGTACGGGGAAGGACACGGAGGACGTTGAAGCGGACCTGAATAGTATGTTAGCGCATCCATGGCAACGATTGTGCGAGTCATATGTGGAATATCTTCAGTAGCACTAGGTATCATCCGTACTCTTTCCAGGCGTATAGGAAAGAAACGTATTTGCCACCAGCGATCGTAGAAGACATTCCGAGGAAGGTTTGACATACAGTCTTGGAGAGGGGACGGCACTGGCCGACGGTGACCCAGTCACCTTCCTCAACACGGAAAGCGGGAGAGACGTGAGCGGCAAGGTTCTTGTGTCTCTTCTCGTAACGGTTGTACTTGGGGACGTAGTGGAGGTATTCACGGCGGATGACGATGGTACGGTGCATCTTGGTGGAGACGACACGGCCGGTCAGGATACGGCCACGGATGGAAACCAGACCGGTGAAGGGGCACTTCTTGTCTGTTCGATATCAGTTATTTTGTCCCACCTGGGATTTGAACAACATGACTGGACTTCTCCGGAGCCTTTGAGAGATGAGAATAACCGGGTTCCGCAAATCTGTCGCCAAGCGCTCTTTCCAGGTCTGATCTCTGATTCCTTCTCTTGTCGCATTTCATCCAGATCCTTTGCATGGTGTAGTTGCATTTTATCGTAGACTCATGCTGGCGCTCTTCAGGTGATTTCTCCCTTTCCCATGCGGCATATTCTCATCTCCCCATAGCCTCCGAAAGATTCCCAGTCCCGGTCCCGCATGATCGGAAGTCGATAACGCCGCAAAATAAAATTTCAACATAGGTCGTGCATACCGATGTAGGAGCCCTCAATGGCGGTCTTGGGGGTACGGAAACCAAGACCGACATCCTTGTACCAACGGCGGCCGGTGCCAACCTTCTTGCTCTTCGCCTGAGCCTTGGGGTTGACGAAGATGTGAGGCTGCTTCTGGAACGCACGTTCCGACTGGACGGTCAACTCGGTCGCCATTGTTGCGAGAATTCAGTCCGACGAGGAAGCGAAGTCGAGCTGGGTGGTATAATTCGTCGCGGAGGGTGGGTGTCGGGGCCTGCGGTGGTCGACGTCGATGTTGGAGAAGATTTATTCGACGATGGCGGATATTCGGCCTGTGAGTGTGCGATGGGGGCGCTAGTCTGTTTTGGGACTCGGCTAGGGCTATCCGTTTTGGTTTGTTTACATCCCCCGGTCACATGAGCGCCGACCGGGCGACGCGCGGGAAGCTCGAGGCCCAATCCATCTAAGTGTTTATGGTGAAACTTTAGGGGAGTAACCTCGTTGATTGTTGTCATTCCCCGGACTGATCCCCCTAACTAGTCAGTTGGATATCGCGGGTGACGCTTTTCAATCCACCTCATTAATCTCTTCTTCATCTTTCATGTTCCCCTCACTATAGACTCCCCATGGCGTCCCGAAGTGACTCCGCGGGGTCTTCCCGCCCGCGATCTCGTCGCTCTATCGCCCATGTCCCCCGATCGCAGTTGACCTCTACCTTGGACAAGGAGAATGCCACCACAAATATCAGCTCTTCTCAATCTATTGGTGAGCGTTCAAAGCTCTCGGCAAAGGATAAGAAGTCGCGCAGCAAGAGTATGGGACCTGGTGGTCTAGATGCGCTCCAAGATTCAAATGGCAATCGACGCAAGGTAGCTCCGCACTCTGCCCCCCGATGCCCTTATCTGTCGCTTATACTAATATCAATCCGGTCGCGTTCAAGTCTACTGCAGCCTTCCCCCTCAAGTCTATCCTGAAACCTACAGTTCCCGTTTCCCCGGTTCGCAACATTCCTACGTTTGAGGAGACACGCAGACGGACTCCCGCTCGCGGTCCACCTCACAATGACGGCACAGGTGAAGCCCCGGAGCAGGGCAAAGAGGGCATGTTAATAGACTTCGATACTCCGGCACAACCGTCAGGCTCTGCGGGTGACGACCCGTCCAATCCTTTCGATAGCTTCACCGCCGCTTCAATCCGGGATGAAATGGCCGCGGTGAGAGAGCGAGAAGAGAAGGAACAGCGGGAGCGCGAGCGCAAAACGATCCTTGAGCGAAGAGAGGCGCGCCGGAAATCTATGGGTTCGTCATACAGCTTTCCTATTCTAACATTAAGCTGACAGACCGCGACAGCAAATCGCCGTGTTTCGTTTGCCCCAGAAGCAACATTGCACACGTGGAATGTCGTGGAGATACCTGATGACTCGACCTCTTCGTCTACCTCCAACTCAACCAGGCGTGCATCGTCCCTGGCAAATCAGACCTCCGCGCAAAAGAATCCCCCGGATGATCCTCCTCCCGACCTGGACGCAGAATCAGATATCGGCTTTTCCCCCGTTCAGTACCCAGATCTACAGCAGCTCCAGAACCGCTCAACTTCGTCGCAGGAGATGTCTTCAAGCCCATTCAGCGGGAGCTCGGCGGACGGCAGTGAATATACCGGTTTACAAGGTTCTCAGGAAGACATCGACGATGATGACAATTCGTCCGTTTCCGGCTCTGACGGGGAAAGTACCGCGATGAGTATGGACGATATTACCGCTCGTTCTGCAGTCACGACTCGGTCAGATGGGTCTGAGGCTAGCACCAGCTCCAGTGCTCGGCTGAATGAGGCTCTACGGCAAGCGGCCCGAGAAGCAGGCACTCGTGGCATTGAGGACGATGATGACGGTGACATGTCGATGGAAATTGCCGACCAGGAGATCACAGGCGCCTTCCAACCCTGGATCAAGAAAGGTGAACGCCAAAGTTTTGATTGGGAAGACATTAGCGCTCGGCATGACCAGGAGAATATGCAGCCCTCAGGGTTCGTGGCCGACCAACCAGCTGAGGCAGATGCGGCAAGCGATAATGGGGATGAGGACCTCAGTATGGAAGTGACGAATGCCATTGGACGTATTCTTCCGGGCCAGCAGAGCCGTCGTCAGAGCATGAGAAGTCGCATGTCACTTGGCGCAGAGACCGTGTACGATGAACAAACTATGGAATTGACCAATGTCGTTGGAGGTATAGCGCAGCCAATCTCGCCAGCCAAGTCCACAGGAGCCTACAGCAACGCAGACGAAGATGAGGAGATGACCATGGAATTTAAGTCGGTCGTTGGTGGCGTTCTGAACAAACCATTCACGGCTAATGTCGCCAATGAAAACGACGATGGCCTAGCAGAATCCTTCACGCCAAGTTCCAAGGCACCAGACTTCTCTGCCTGGGAGAACGAAGATGACAACATGGATGAAGGAATGGACATGGAAATGACCGGGGCCATTGGTGGCATACTTCCCGCAGCTCAGGAGCAAACCGAACCACAAGATGAGGATCAAACCCAGGGCATGGATTTCACGGCTGCCGTGGGTAAGATAATCTCACCTCAAGCAGGGCCACAGGAGACTGTTGAAGAACAAATGGAAGTAGAGCCAAATGCCGAAGCGACTGCTGCTCGCCTCGGTAGCTCACCCTTCCAGGGTTCTGCTCGTCAATTTCCAGCTAAATCACCTGCCTCGTTCCATGTCGCTGCCGTTGCTTCAGAAAACGGAAGCCCTAGCCTGGCGAGTGTGAGATCCAGACGGACCCGACAAAGCCTAAGCCATGCTGCTTTGAGCACCCCGACCTCTCAGACATCACAGCCATCCCCGAAGGAACCGGCGCTGCAGGCCAGCGGACTCTCACCTGCCGAAACTCCGTCTAAATCCACTGATGATCAGAGTACATCGCCCGAGAAGCCACCGCAGCCGAACCCTACAGGACCTGCAAGCGGGACAAAATCTCCAAGGCGTAAAAGTCTTTTCGAGAAGTCTGCATCTGGAGAGTCCGCTCCTTTGTTTGTCTTACAACCTCATGGAAAAAGACGATCTTCAGGTCTCGGGATTGATAAAGAAGGCCTTGGGTCGCCCAAGGTGGCCGCTATGCTTGACAAGCGTCGATCGATCGGTGAAGAGGCACCGCAGTTCATCCCCCAGGAACCGTCTAAACAGGGAGTGCGCTTTGAAGATCCCGTGAAGCTTCAGGAGGAGGTTGAGAGGGAGCGCGAAGAGGAAGAGAACCGAGAAGATGGGCATATTCCGCCCCCACCCCTCAATGATCGGGACCCCACAGCTAATCTGAAAGACATGATCTCAAGTCTTACCCCGAAGAAAAATAAGCTGCGTGGGAGAAAGAGCTTGCATGTTGGCGCCGCTCGTGGCGTCCTCGGCAAACGGCCAGCCGAGCTGGATATGGATGATGAAGATGTTGATAGCACACCAAAGCGTTTGAGGGGGCGTGAAAACGTGAGTCCGGTGAAGAACATCAGGCTTCCTGCACCTCCGTCCAAGGATGAAACGGTTGGGCGTGCAGCCCGTTCGCCTCTCAAACTCTTCAGTGGCTCTCCATTGAAGATGAGCACCACTCC